TAACAATTAAAAATATAATATTTAAAATTTTAATAGTAATAATTAATAAATTAATTATATATATTTTTTTTTTCAAATCCCAGGAGGTCATCGCCCCCTGGTCTACAAATGGCTCAATGATACCAACTTTACACTTTTTTTTATTTTATGTGTTTTAACAATTAAAAATATAATATTTAAAATTTTAACAGTAATAATTAATAAATTAATTATATATTTTTTTTCAAATCCTAGGAGGCCATCGCCCCCTGGTCTACAAATGGCTCAATGATACCAATTTTACACTTTTTTTATTTAAAGATATTAATTTTATTAATTTTTAAATAATAATGTTAATTTTTAACTTTTTCTATCTAAATATGTTAATTTTCAATTTTTTCTATTTAAGAATATCAATTTTTAACTTTTTCTATTTAATAATTAACTAAATGATAACATTAATGTGACAAACGGGATTTTTTTAACTAAAACATTAAAAGTTAATATATTTTTAAAAAATTTGAAGTTAACACTTTTATTCAAAAATTGATTAAATTAATATTATTAAATAAAAAAATATAAAATTAATATCCTTATTTGTATCTTTTCTTTTCTCCGTTGGATACCAGCCATGACTCTAGCAGCAAGGGTACATACAATACATTATTCAAGTTTCTTTTTTCTTGTTTTGGTACCTTTTTTGTCTTTTTGGTTCAGTGGTCAAGTTAGTTTATAATTTTTTAGACTAATACATCTTCAATTCAATAAAAATTATTCTGGTTAAAATTAAAGAATTTGTAAAATATTTTTCTTTATTAGTTTGACAATACTAATAAGTAATAACTACTTATTTTGAAATTAATTGGAACCAAATTCTAAAATTAAATAGAAATTACACCCTCTAGTAAAGCTAGCGTAATAAATTAGGTAGTAAAGGGGATAGCTTTTAAATTAAGCTTGAATTAGGGTTATTAACATGTGAGATTTTCTTTGGCCGAAATTATATAACATGTGAGGATGGAACTATATATAATTTAAGCTTGCATTTTCTTTTTCTTTTTTTTTTTGGGTGAAAATTTTAAGCTTGCATCTGACGTGAAGGGTATAGCTTTGTAGGATATTTTGGAGACAACACTTTTTAAAATTATTTTTGATGGTAAATATAATTACTTTGCTGGTAGGATCATTTGGGTAGCCTGCGGTGAAGTTAGGTATTCAAGTTTGATCCTACAAATTGCATATGGATATATTCCTTACTTTGAGAGAATATCCTGCAATAATGGATAAAAAAAGAATTAATTTATACAACTAAAACAGAAAAATTAGAAACATAAAATATTAAGGGAATCCCTTGCAATTTCTTTTTTTAAAAGTTTAAAATACGATTTCTTAATTGATTTTTTACTAATTTATTTTTAGGTTAAAAGTTTGATTTTATGTTTAGAAAACTTCAATTAATTGTATTTAAATTTATAAAATTTTATTCATTGTATTTAAATTTTAATTGATTATATTTTAAAAAATAAAATTCATATTTTAATATAAATAGATGAAAAATGAGAATTCTCACAAGAAATGTAAACAAAAGGCAAAATCTATTCCCATTAAAAAATGAAGACGGTAGGCAAAATCTATCCTCATTAAAAATCTCTGTTGCAATTTCAGCCACATCGCTTTTCATACTTGGGTCCGTCTATTTCCAATGCGGCAAAAGCAGAAGCAGGTAAGAATTTGAACGATTGAACCTTTGAATCTTTGACCCGTGGTTGGTTGAATTAATTATCGTGCTTGCCGTAACATCCTTCACTTGATATTAATTTACATTACCTGCCATCGTCAAATCTCACCACAATCTCGAGACCTTCAAATTTCATTGTTTCTTCTCCTTTTCAACTTAGTTTTTTCTTAGATTTTTGCTCGATCTATCACATTTTGAAATTGGTTTGCGTTTTTTTCCTTTAGAAGTAGATATTTTGTGGTTGGTACCTCTCTTGAGAATTTTCAAATGTGGATTCTTTACATATGTGTTTTTTTTTCTTATAAGCCGAATTAAAAATTTTATTTCCATCGATATGTACCAAAACCATTAATATTCCAGAAAAAGACAACCCCCAATCCATCATTGACGATGAAATGTCCGAACGTGAAAAACAACATCATTAACAATGAAATGTCCAAAAATAAAAAGCCACATCATTGACAGTAAAGTTGTACTCGAAGCACACTACTACGATTTGAAGTTGCTCTCTTATTAGAATTCCATACCCCAAATGATAAGTCAGGAACCATATATACTCCAGAAAAAAACAACCTGCGATCCACAATTGACAATGAAATGTTCAAAAACGATAAAAAA